CCCCCCCCCCCTTCTACAACCTGTTTAGTATTCTTGTAGACCCTTTTGGGACCAACAATTCATGGCACATATTTCGTTTTCTAAATTACTGATATTAGGAGCATCAAACCATCCAACTTGGCATTCGATTGGGTAAGGATCAATTGAGAGAAATGATCGATTGAGATAAAACATAGGTTAAGGTTAATCGATTGAGAGATGAGTGATTGAGAAACGCCCGCTACTGAGACCTGGAGAAGCAATAAGAGACAAATAAATGGTTGGTTTATCTCTTACCATATAATAAGACAGTAAAACATAAGCGTTTTTTAAATTTTGAAAAAAAAACAGTTTAAATGACTCTACCTCTTACTCAATCATACAAAAGCTTGCCACGTAAGCACTAAGGACTAGACCCAATATTTCAACCCATTAATCATTGGATTTGGAACCCCCTATCCTATTGTTTTTTTTTACTTTATATTTTATATTTAATTTATTTATTCAATTTTATAAAATTGTTATTAAAATCAGGTGTTGTTAATAAAATGTAAAGAGTAAGTAATGTATGTGAGCAAAAATGACTAAGGAGTCGTTTATTAAACACTTACTTAATAAGTGTTTACCGGGTAGTTTTCTTTAGCGGATGAATATGACAACTATCAAAAAATTTACCCGGTAAGAACAATGATATAGATGGAGAGTCTTACTCGGTAAGTGAGAGTGATGATTCTTACCTGAGTAAGTGTTTACCGGGTAAATTGTTGCATACGGTATCATTTTGATGTACTACAGTTTTACCCCGTAAAATATACTATAGTGTTGACTCCTAATATTAAGCGCTTACCGGATAAACATTTAAGTAAAGGGCTCCTAAGTAGTTATTTAATGTTTGTGGTTGGAAATATCTCTACCCAATCCAATTTAAAGTGTACAGGTTGATCAGATTGATATTTTGTTACATCAAAATATTTTTTTAACCTTAAATAATGTTGCTTTCTCTGCTCATAATCTCTTTTCATCACCAATCACTTGGTACAACCTTTCCACATTTCTTAGATCTTAAGTATATTAAATTTAACTACTTTTTTCAATTTGCATATACATATATATATATATATATATATATGTGTGTGTGTGTGTGTGTGTGTGTGTATACTTGGAATCACATGAGACCAATTTGTTTTCGTGAGACTCGTGTGACCACTTTTTTGCACTTGAAACTCCACAGCAAAATGCTGTGAAGGTTCGTTTTTTTTACCTTCACAATATTTTGTTGTGAAGTTTCATGTGTAAAAAAAATAGTCTCACGGGTCTCACGAAAACAGTGTGATCTCACGTGAACCCTCTCTCTATATATATATATATATATATGTGTGTGTGTGTATACTTGGAATCACATGAGACCAGTTTGTTTTCGTGAGACTCGTGTGACCACTTTTTTGCACTTGAAACTTCACAGCAAAACGCTGTGAAGGTTCGTTTTTTTACCTTTACAACATTTTGTTGTGAAGTTTCATGTGTAAAAAAAATAGTCTCACATGTCTCACGAAAACAGTGTGATCTCACGTGAACCCTATATATATGTGTGTGTGTGTGTGTGTGTGTGTGTGTTCATATTTACTAAACATACTAGTTGTGTACCTGTGCAATGCGGCGGGAGCCATGAATTTTAACGATTTTGAAGTTCCACTGGTTTTATAAGATAAGATTTAACGATGATATATGTTACACTTGGTCTTTACATATTAATACAATTTGAATAAATAAGAGTTATGATTCCAATTACAGACTATCGATGAAAAAATTTGTATGACAGTTTAAAATCCAATATATTTAAAATCCAAYATATTTAAAMKCCAACATATTTAAACGACTCCACAAATGTRTTCGATTTACACMAAGAGMAAAGAACCAAGAAACTTGAGTTTTAAGATAAACACTCAAAACCAATAAAGAAAAMTACAAACTTGACAGATCATAAGCCATGAAAAGACCAAAAAAGATGGGTTTTAGAATGAAATTTCAACTGTTTACCCTCTTTCTTGTCCAAAAACTCAGATTAAGGTTGAATTAATACATGTATATATACATTTCAAAAAAAACCCAAGAACATATTAATTCAGAACATATTATACAGTGTAATTTGGACAGCCTAATCCCAAAATATATAGTATATATATAAATAAATAACTATAAAAATATAATTCGTAAATATTAAAAATATTTTTTACAATATGTATAACATATAATAATATAATTAAGTCAAAAACTATTCAATATTGGACTCATTTCGAAGATATTAACGAGACGATTATAATGGTGTAACTTGTTAAAATAAAAATGTATTTTTAAACATGTTTTAATTGATATACGATTATGTATATTAATTTGATAAATGTTTAAAATGAAACATTTAAAAGTAAATGAAGTAAATAAACAAATAAATTAATTATAGGGGAATAAAATGTAAATTTAAAATTATAATTTTAAAAAAATAGGTTGTGAGATGGTGAGTGTATGTGAGGAGAAGAGAGAGTGAAAAAGTGATAAAGAGTATCTTGGTCATTTAGTATTTTAAGACTTTAAAACTTTTGTTAAATTTGCTTTATAAGATAGTATATATATATAAATATATGAAGTTATATAGAAATGTAGAAGAGATTGAAAATATAACATGACGGTGTAATTGTCTAATCTACACATTCATATTAAATCCAATAAATAACAAGATATTGAGTTCGTCGGGTTGGGTTGAGTTCAAATAACCGTAGCCCAATTCCAAACCAATCCTATAGTTTGAAAATTTTACAACTAGATTAGACATCGGGTTACTTCAAATTGGGTTATTTCGTATTAAGTTGGGTTAGGTTGATCGGGTTTTATGTATTTAGCAAATAATACATATGCATTTAGCCAACCCCATAAAATCTTTAAATCTTCAAGGATATCCACCATCTTTCGTCTTTTCACGATAAAAAATTAAAATTATAATATGTTCTTTTTTCAAATAAAAATTTACGAAAATAACAAAAATGACTAAAATACCCTTTATTTAACTTAAAACTAAAAGATTAACAACCTTTAAACAGATGAAGCAAAACCATTGGAAATTGACAAACCCAAGTGTTTGGTTAGAGATATTAAGCAATAATCAATGAAAATGAAATGAAACGAAAAGAAATTGTTTGGTTTTCTATAATATAATGAATTCATTCACACAAAAGCCCAAAATTTAATCGTTGTATAAACTAGGGGAGGGAATGAAAACTCATTCCCATTTTCATTCATTGTCATTTTCAATTTAATTCCTCAACATGAGCCAAACAGACCCTAAGGGTCCGTTTGGTTTGCATGATTGTTTTTTAGAGATTTGGATTTCATGGAGGGATTTAGATTGGAATGAATTTGAAATCATTGGTGTGTTTGGTTTGTAGGATTCAAAATGAAATTGGATTTCATTATTTATAAATAATTTATAGAAAATTATAAAAATAATTGAATTACATTTTTATTAATCGATTATTTACAAAACAAAATTTCTTAACATTTTATAAAACCTTATTGCATACAATTTTACAAAATCCCATGAAATCCTGAGCACTCCCTAAGGATTTCAAAATCTTATATTTGAAGAATTTTAATTAAATCCAAAGATTTCAAATCCGAACAATCTCACAAATCAAATAAAGAACCATATACAGATATTGAATAACTCAAAGCCAATGAGCTTTGATGTTGTAGGTTGTACCATATAATTTATTATAAAAACAAGAAAACAATCATTTACCAACCAAAAGCAGTTCGGAATTTTGTCACACGATAAATGTACAGGACACTACAAAAAGAGCAAACGCTAGTACATGAGTAGGTGTCCTAACAATCACTCCGTTTGATGCATCACCGCCACCGCCTGTTGAAGGGACTGATTTGGATCCACCTGCGTTTCGTTTTAAGATGAAGTAGTTTCACATTAAGGGGGTGTTTGGGATTGCTTATTTAACCAATTTATGTTTGTCTACAAAAGTCTTTATCAACTTATTATAAGTTAAAAAAGTTTAACTTCTTCAAAAACCCCTTATTACCGGTTTGACACCTATATAAGCTGTTTATCTAAACACTAAAAAGTGTTTATTATTGTTGTCACACCAGAATAAGTCAATAAGTTGTTTTTACAAACAACCCCAAACACCCCCTAAACTGGTTTAGAAGTAATTTTTATCAAACACTTTTGTACCTGTTGGTTGGCTAGTACTGGTTGGAGCTTCAGGAATTTTATCAGACTTAGCACTTGAAGGCGTCGGTCCGTTCGCAACACCTACAAAATAATTCTATTAATAAATATAACAAACTGTAACAAAATGAAACGTAATTTGTTCTGGTTTTAATTTGGGAAAATCTGGTCTCAGAAACTCTACTTTTGGAGGTCTCTGTAATTATATTGCTTACAAAATTATAATTTCCTTTTTTCTTCAGAAAAATCTTAGTGTGTTCTGTTGATTGCATCTAAAAATAGGAACTGAAAAAAAGTACGTTTCATTTTAATGCAGTTTTTCATAATGGTAAATTGCATGAAAAAAGTAAAGTACTTTAACTTGATTTCTATTTTAGGTAACGTACTTTCAAAGCTTACATCTTGATATATAAGATGTAAAGTTTTAAACATTTAAGTACTCATGTAACCAGTTGAATCATTAACCAGTTACCATGCTGATGTGGCGAATAATGTGATGAAATTGGCTTGAATAGCAAATAATACTGGGTTGGATATCACATCACATGTTAACCGGTTAATGTTTCAACCGGTTACCCGGGTACTTAAATATTTAAAATTTTACATTTTAGGTATCAAAATGGATATTTTGAAAAATACGTTACCCAAAATATGAATCAAGCTAAAGTACATTATTTTTTCATGCATTTTACCCATTTTAAATTTAAAAGTACATTTGTATTGTAAAATAAAATATTTAATTTGCTCTGATTGAGAAATACTGGTTTTATTATTTTATATCTTACCATCATGACAGATATAAACATATGGTATAAATGAATAAATGTTACCATTGCATTGGCTAACGGGAGGAGTTTGTACGTTACAGGCACGAGGAAGCGATAAAGCCAGTGTTTGGTTTATCGATATCCCAAGATTGGCCGTCCCACCACCGTTAACTAACGAGCAGAGGCATTGTGGTTGAACTTGTACGATGTTAGATAGTTGCGAGCAACACGCAGACGATGGAGTCGATGAATTCCCGGATACGGAGCTCAAGCATGGGGCTAAGCCGATGAACGCAATCATGCAGCCGGGTTGAGCCGTGGTCTCGACCCATGGCATGACCACTAGGATCAAGATTAAACCCATGTTAGTCATTTTTGATGCCATTGGTTTATTGGTTAAATGGTTATAGTTTTTGGTGCATTTCGAGTGAAATCAAGAAATGCTTTTAAAGGAGATCTCGGCAACCAACCTTAACTAAACAATTAATTTCTCTCTCTATATATATATAGAGAGAGGGGGGTAAAGATTAAATGCAAACCACTCATATTTGTACAAATCGTGTAAATCATTTTCATCCATCGATTTTATTGTTTAATCTTATCAAATTGTTTCACGAAATTGTTTATTCTTATGAAATTATTTCATATAATACTTTTTGATAAAACTGTTTCATATATGGTTATGAAATTGTTTCATATAATACTTATGAAGTTTTAATGAAATTGTTTTATGTATTTCTCTAAAATTAATATAATGAAGATGATAATATCCATGATTAATATTCTCCAGAATAAAAATGATTAATCAACCTCTCATAATTACAAAAAACGAAAAATTATGATTGTCTGAATGAGGTTTGTACGATTTGTACAAATAACGTGGTTTACAAAGTAATTTTTCCTCTCTCTCTCTCTATACACACACACACACATATATATATACATATATATATATATATATATATATACATTTGTCGATGATTAGGTTCACGTGAGACTAGTCTGTTTTGGTGAGACCACTTTTTTACATTTGAAGTTTCACAGCAAAAACTGTAGAGGTAAAAAGAACCTAAACCTTCATAGAAAAACACAGTGAAAATTACATTCACAGTGTTTTGCTGTAAAATTTTAAATGTAAAAAAATGGTCTCACCAAAACAGGATTGTCTCACACGATCCCAAATCCATTTGTCCATGATAATAATTAATCATAGTATTTTATGACAATTGCAATTATTTAATTTAAGTAAAGTATTTAACATATTTAAAATATTATTTAATAATATTTATTTTAAAATGAATTTACATTTATAGAGATACACATAGAGGGTTATTTGGGGGTGGGTTTTCTATATAAAGGAAAATGACCAACTTAGGTCTACCAACTCATGGGTCAAGTATAGAAATTTGATGGCATGTTAGAGCATCCCAATGAATCCAACAACTTATTACTCCACTTATCTTGGATTTGAAGGAATTTTATTAAAAAAAATTATCTGGTTTGAAGAATTTTTTAAATTTTAAAATCTTATAAATTTAGTACACCACCCTTTTGGTTATGAAAAATGTTCATACATGTTCTTTTTGTTGCAAAATTCAGTTTTGTGATTTGTGTATGAATTATTTACAGAAGAACAAGATTTAAAAGTTGAAAATTTCGTGTTTCAAAATGACAAGTGAACGAGATAATTAGGTATCAATATATGAAAAAGACGAAAATACCCTAGTTTATAAAATTGATATTAATTAATTGGTTAACAAATGATTATACCTCTATTAACATATATGTATGGATAGCATCCTTAGGTTGAGTTCCAGTGAAAAAGTAGAGTTAAAGTGAGAAGCGTAAAAATAGATCTCCACCCTTAGATGCACATTAGGATGAGATGTACCTAGATAAGATGCAAGGAGAGTGTGGTTCATAGGTGGGTTTGAGATTAAAGGTGATCAAGGGTCCAAATCCCTTCTTACGCTTTTCATCTTAACTCTCCTTCTTACACGATTTTTCGCTTAGCTTCCTTTCGGTAAATATAATCCATATAACAGTAATTATTTCAAGCAACATTGACTTAATATTTATCAAGAAATAACATGTTACATATGGAAAAATTTGAAACCTTAAATCACTCAAGGAAACAAATGAAACAATGTGTAATCAAATGCAACAAAAACCAACAACACACTTGATCATGAGAATACTCAAAACTTCATTCCGAAGAAAAGAACGAAAAACATAAGAAAACTCGGTACTCCAAATCTGCTTCCATCCGATGCGTTGTTATTTGTTGATGGCGTTGTTTTCGATCCAGATCCCGATCCTACAAATTCATCCTTTTTATTAGCTCAAGAAATATCTCGATTCTTATAAGAATATGTTGAACCCCATTAGATTACGTCCCTTCATGAGAGAAGGGAGGTTCCAACATATATTGATGATAAATACAAGTCTAGCTGATGCGAGACTCTAACAATACTAATAACAAAGGCATTCAAGTTATAGAATAAGGGATTGTTTGGTTGGTTATCCATTGGGATTGTTTGGCTGGTTTTCCGTTAAGTCATGTATGGATCAAACTGTCTGTATAGATTGGGAAGGTTTTTGTTCAGGAGGGTTTCTTCATAGATGGAAGGAGTGTTTTTTAAATGGGAGGTGCAGATTTGGAGAAAAAAAAAACTTGATTTCCTGCATAAAGCTCCACCGAGAAGCTTATTGAATAAGCCAATTTTCATTATTATTAAGTCATTATCAAACAGTCATGTATAGGTGACCATGTAAGCAGTGAATCTCATTAAGCTCATGTATGGATAAAGTTATTTGTGTGGATTAATCTGTTTGTATAGATTAAAGATATCTTTGTTTTAGGCTTTTTAATAGATGAAACGAGCCTTATCTTTAATTGGGAGGACATGTTTTAAAAAAGCTCGACTTTCTGCATAAATCTCCCCCTAGAAACTTATTGAATAAGTTTCATCTATATCATTAAACCACTACCAAACAGTCCTATATAGCTGACTAAATAAGCTATAATTCTCATTAAGCTAAACGAACAAGCCCTAAGTCGATTACTTTCTAAAAAGACCCTTCAGAAAAGAAGAGATATTACAACATACATTCAAGATAAAGATAAATGATATGTAGTAAATTACCAGAAGTGGTAGTTGGTGTTGATGATGTAGTGGGAGCTTCAGCTTCAGGGGTTTCTTGTGAAGGCACTATTTCTGAACCGGTTGAGCCAGTTGGGGAACTTGCTGAACTTGTAGGTCCACCAGCAGGTCCATTAGCAACAGCTGTCAAAATAATTTTTAATTAGTGACTAATTGAAAATGGGTGCATTACAAAAAAATTGATTTTATAGGATGTCAAATATATATGAATATCATAATAGATTGTTTTATAAGACTTAGGTGCCGTTTACCAAACACTTACCCGAGTAAGCGCTTATGAAGTCACTTTACTTTACCGGATGAATATGACAAGGACTAAAAATCTTACACTGTAAGAACGAATGCAAGAATCGAGAGCCTTACCCGGTAAGTGAGGATGAAGACTCTTACCATGGTTAGCACTTACCGGGATAAATTGTTGCATACGATGCGTTTTAGTGAATAAAATCTTACCCGGCAAGTAAGCGATAGTATTTAAATATTACCGATAAGTGTTTAGGTAAGCGGCCCCTTAAACTTACAAGACTAAATAAGTGGACGTCCTACGTAAGAGCATCTCTAACATCCAAAATGGAGATTTTTGCTCCAACAGATTCTCCAAAATGGAGAAAGCAGGAAAGAGAGAGATGAAGATCTCCAAATTTGGAGAATTTTTCAAAATGGTTACTTGGGAAAAAGAAATGATTTTTTTATTCTCTCTACCGATGACAATTCTTGGAATTAAATGTATAGCGAGAGAAAAATTATCTTTTATGAATTGTATTGAATATTTTAAGTTTTTAATAATATAGAAGACATTATAACCTCAAAATTGGAGAAGCTATGGGAGATGAACCTAAATTATTCGCGAAGATTTTAACTTTTGATTCTCCATTTTGAAGAATCTGGTGGAGATGCTCTAAAAGTGTGCTACAATAAGTTGATAGGACGTTTTTGGACATCATATATAAAAGTATTGCAATAATACTCTTGTTTTTATAGCATACTTTTCAGATATTGTAAATATTAGAGTAAATTATTGTTTTCATCCCTATAGTTTGTTAATAATTTTGATTTTCGTCGATGAGGTTTAGAAATTCCGGTTTTTGTCCCTATGTGTTTGCAACTTATTGTTATTTTCGTCCCTAGACTAATTCCTACCTTTAAATACATGGGACGAAAACAACAAAGAATTGTAAACCACAGGGACCGAAAAAACATAAAGATTGTAAATTATAAGGACGAAAATAGCAATGAATTACAAATCATAGGGATGTTAATTACAATTTCTAAACCATACGAATGAAAATCATAATTATTAACAAACTACAGGGACATAATTGTAATTTACTCTAAATATTAATATGATATCTTATTTCAAAACGGTCCAAAAAAAACTTGTTCCTATTGACTTATTATAACACTATTACATAAGACACATAATTGTTTTTTTTAGAAGTATATAATATTTATATACGGCAAATGCAACAAATAAACTCACACACCCTCATCATCTATGGTGAGGTTTGAACCCCTGACCTCCTAGAAGGCCAAGGGCTACGATACCGCTAGGCCAAAGGCCCTTTGGTATAATTGTTTGTTGCTATAAACCTAAGTCCTATAAAATAGTTTATTAGAACATTTAGATGATTATGCCAATAATTATTTGTAATAAATATGTTTAAAGAAATAATCATACCATTGCATCGGCTGATGGGAGGAGTTTGTACTTTACAAGCACCAGGAAGCGTTATCGCAAGAGTTTGGTTAATAGTAACGCCAATATTCGGACCGTTGCCATTAAGCAAAGAACAAAGGCATAGTGGTTGTGACTGCACCACGGTCGAGAGTTGTGAGCAACATGAAGGTGAGGGAGTAGACGTGTTTCCTGTCACATAGTTTAGGCACGAAGCCAAACCCATGAGCGTGTTGGTGCAACCGCTCGATTGAGCCCGGGCTCCACCCCATACCATGACCATCATGACCAAGACTACACCCATGACTTCTTGCCTTTTTGGAGCCATTGGCTTTAGCTAATATTGAGTGCTTAATGAAACACAAAGAGCTAAATGTGTGTGATTAATGGCTTATGACTATGTGTGTGATTAATGGCTTATGACTATGTGTGATAAAAGGAAATGTATTTATAGGGAGAAACTTTGGAGTTTAGTAAATCATTGAGATTTTATTTCTGATTATTATATAAGTTTGGGTAACCAACTTTCCTAACATGTTTGGCTTTAATTTGAAAATTTTAAATTCAGTATTTTCAGTATCATATTTTAAAATATTAATGGTAATAAAACAAGCATCAAAATGATGTTTGACAAGCGGTTTTCAAACGTTCTGCATTTGTTACAGTGGATATGATATAACAAAACGTGAATTATTGCTCCACATTTGACAAGACTTTTATTTTATGTGGAACAGACAGAAACAAAGTGGAAAAGGCGTGTTCCACCCCCACCTCATGAAACAAGGTGGAACAAACTTATATTTTACTAATATAACCTCAAAATAAAACCTCTTCTAAAACGTCTCCCTCTTTACATTTTATTCATTATTCAAAGTTTTATTTATTATATTTTATGCTCTTTAACTTTCACTTTACTATGCTCAAAATACTATTTTTATGCGGTTTCTATATTTTGATTAGTTTATGTAATTTATTAAATATTAATAATAAAAATTGAAAACTATATAATATTTTTATTTTGCCATTTTAATCATCTAGACGAAAACTTTCCAGTGATATACTTTGTATAAAAATTATTATTTTATTATAATTTAATAAATTAAATTAATTAATCAAATATATAACCAACTCTTTAGGGGTAAATTGGTCATTTTATATGTTTTGTTTTGTCCAAACATTGAATAGTTGCTCTATCCTGTCTAGATACCAAATGCAAATTTAAGGTTATATACTTAAATATAGCAACTCATATAATGTTACATCTTTTCTTTATGTTCCATATGTTCCTCTTATTTTGTTATTATTTAGCGGTATGGCGATTGATCGTCTGATAGGAGAAGTTATGGTGAGAATCGTAAGAAGAGATATGAACTCTTGATCATCATTTAATCTCATACCTACCCATGATTTGCGATTTAGAAGGGAATTGATCCGGTGCATCTCAATGTACCTTATTAGTGTTGACATACGATTAGAATTAATCTAAGAGTGAAGATCTCTTCTTACGCTTCTCACCATAACTTCTCTTTTCACCGGAATCCAACTATTAAGGATATTTGGATTAATACTTTATTACAATCAAACATTTTATAAAAGTGTGTGTAATAATATAGTAATTATAACATACATACATACATACATATGCGTTAAAAAAACCAAAAAGATATTAATTTATAAACAAAGTAGTATCTTTGTAAAACAACCCTCATAATCTAAGATGGTGAGGTGTTAAATAAATAAATGCATAGCTGAATTAAAAAAGGATAAGGTGAACAAACTTAGGTGTAGCAGTTATGATTGATATCATTGGTATAGAGGCATAAGCTTGGAGTTAGTTCGATTCCTAAAATCAAAAGCTTGAATTATACCATAATATATTTTACTTGACATTATTTCCTTTCAAGTTGTTCCGCTTTCTTGAGGTTAACGGTGGCATGGATGTGATTAGAGATGCACAAAAAAGCTCAAGTCCAACACCTAGTCCAGGTCCGGCCTGAAAAAGGGTCGGGCCTAGTGAACCCGAAACCTGGTCCAGGCCAGGCCTCAAAGCCTGATCAAGCTGAAATTTTGAGGGTTGGCATCGGCATAAGCCCGGCCCAATAAATACTGACCTGGAAAAGCCCAAAGAAGCCTGCCATAAAAAGCCCAGTCGGGACCTTTTTCAACCCCAAATCCCAGCCCCGCTCTAAAAAAGCCGAGGTCTTCTTCTGCTCACTGAAAACGGACTTGGAAGGCCCGGCCCAGGTGCGAAAATCCCAGGACTTGTGCATCTCTAGATGTGATTGGTCGAGGATACAAGTTTTTTTATGTTCATTTCATGGTCTGGTGGGTTGTTTCACTAAATGACCTCCTTAACAAGGGTTTTTTAAATTCATCATTTTCTGACAAGTTTTTTTAAGCATTCTTGTGTATGGAAGTGGCGTTATCAAAACTGTCAGAAGGTCATTAACTTAAAAAAGAACTGTGATAGAAGTCATTTAATCAAAGGACCTTGGTTTCGGTCTACATACCTGATGGAGTCATAGTTGGATTGGGATGGATCTTCAGGCAGCATATATACATCTGGAGCTACTGCAGAACCTTTAGGAGAAGCATCCAGGCTTGGCATAGTGATCTGTTTGTAGGTACATAAATAATTGCACAAGAACAAGAATTATGGAAATGAAACACACACACACACACACACACACACATATATATATATAAAGGGCGGTTTAAGGGAAAACCCCCCAAAAAATGAAAAACTGCGAAACACCCTGGTAACCATTTATCTAGAGGGTATGCACATGTGCATACAAGTAACTGAAGTTGTTTCTTGGTTTTTATGCACGTGCGCATGTTGTGCACATATGCATACCGGACAAATTGTTTACAAATTTGCTTACTAGGGTGTTCCCCTGAACCTAACCCTATGAGTGTGTGTGTATTCCAAACCTCAAGAAAAAAGTATATGACTTCTGATATTTGCTAACCCAAGTTTCCAAATTACAAGCAACAGGAAGAGTTAGAGCCAGTGGCACACTGCTTAAAGCCTCAGGAGGATGTAATGGATAATCTCATCTACCCAGGCTTGAATCAGGCAATTCGTGGTCGCCTGGGGGATTAGTCGGTACACATAAGCTGGACCGGAAACCCACGGTTGCCCAAAAAAACAAAAAAAGGCATTGAAGTCGAGACTGCTTGAAACAGAAATCATATATTTAGCTCAACTTCATCAAGAAGGATGTACAATATTCTAAAGAATTACTAGACAAATGTGAGAGTAATTATATTTTATGTAATAATTTGATATATTTTATTGCAAATATTTTTGTTCATTACTGTCTCCGACAATCCACGAGTAAGCTACATGAATATCATATAGGACAGCATAGCATTCTTGAAAGAGGTTCATCAAAGTGATATACTAGAGCCGATTAGTAAGAACAAAGGTCATTAACAATAGCATAGAGACAAATCTGTTTGATAGTTTAGATTAAGAAACCTTTTTTTAAGATGAGCCTAACTTTTATGTAGCATATAACAAGAAACAGACAAACAGCTGACAAACCTGAGTTAGCTTTCCAACAATTTCAATCAATCTTGTGTCTGCTAAACGAGGGTTCAACGAAGTGCCCTCCAAGGTGCTTTCCTTCCTGAAAATACTTAGAAATTGGTAGCATGTCAATACTATATAAACCAAACTTCTTAAACACTTAAACACACCATTAATTTCTACAATCAGATACATCCTCAACTAAAAATGGCATACCAATTAGCATTATTCTCTTCAATGATGCTGTTACTAGCAGTGGGTACCAATGCCGGTGGCATTGCTATCTACTGGGGTCAAAACGGTGGTGAAGGCACGCTGGCTGAAACTTGCTCAACAGGGAACTACGATTTTGTCAACCTTGCATTTCTTCCAACATTCGGAAATGGTCAGACCCCCATGATTAATCTTGCAGGCCACTGCGATCCATACAGCAATGGCTGCACCAGTTTAAGCTCCGACATTAAATCATGTCAAGCTAAAGGAGTCAAGGTTATGTTAACTATTGGAGGCGCAGCAGGGAGCTACTACCTTACCTCTGCTGCAGACGCTAAACAAGTTGCCAATTACCTTTGGAATAACTTCTTAGGTGGGAAATCATCCACACGGCCTCTTGGTAAAGCCGTTTTAGATGGAATCGACTTTGATATCGAAGGAGGAACTACCCAACACTGGGATGACCTAGCCAGATATCTTTCTGGATACAGCACTCAAGGCAAGAAAGTATACTTGACAGCAGCTCCCCAGTGCCCTTTTCCAGATGCATATATTGGAACTGCCCTTAAAACAGGCCTTTTCGATTATGTTTGGGTTCAATTCTATAACAACCCCCCTTGTCAGTACTCTGGAGGTATAACCAATCTTGAAGATGCTTGGAAGCAATGGACTTCTGAAATACCAGCAACTAAGATCTTCTTGGGCCTACCTGCTGCACCTACAGCGGCTGGAAGTGGATACATCGCTGTCGGTGACCTTACTTCCAAAGTGCTTCCAGCAATTAAAGGTTCTGCAAAATATGGAGGTGTTATGTTGTGGGATAAGTACCATGATAACCAAACTGGATACAGTTCTTCCATCAAGAGCCATGTCTAGAGTGTAAAACTTCACTTGTATCATTCCCCTATGCGAGTATTATAAAATCTGCTTCTCCTACTTTGACAATTTCAGCTTCTAACTAAGAAAGTTGGTTCAAGTCTTGAATACTTTCTAGTAATATCACCCTTTTTTGGAAGGGTGTCCCTGGCAAATTGCGACTATAAGACATCACTCCTGATGAACTCAGTGCTTACGATTTCTGTGGATGCCTGTAATTGCCAATATCACCCTTTTGTGGTGCTGCCTTTAGGATAGACATCTAAGATGCAAATAGAAACCCTAGATTTCACCAACCTCGGATATCGTATAATTCAATCCTTGAAACAAAACAAAAACAAAAAATCACAGGTAATCCACGCTTGATTACATGTCTAAATCTATGAATTTTCAAATTAAACACGCCAATCAAACATAAACACTTTGTTCAAGCATGTGAATTATCAAATACGATCTCGGCAATCTTAAATAACAGAGAGTTAATTATTACCATTCAGCTACGATGACATCTCAAACTCCATTAAAGTTACCGCAAAATTCAACGCCACGGCTGCCGGAGACGTCGAGTTCTCCGACGACGGTAAAAGCATGGCGCCAAAGTTAGAATGCAGATTTGTCGATACGAAGACAATTTTGCACAAATTTTGATTTTGGCCCTCAAGGTTTTTAACTTTAGCTTAAACACACCCCTGTATAATTTCGTGAGTAAATTACATAAATTATCACGTGCTCTTTTTCTTAAAGGGCTATTTGGTTCAAACTCGGGAATCAAAATGAAAGTGACAATCAGTTTAATCTGTAATGAAAATTTGGGCTTATAAAAGAATGAGTTTGTTATATAATATAAAACCAAACAGTTTCTTTTATACAAATTTTTTATTGATTACTGTTTGGTACATTTAACTGAACACTCTCTGGATTACATTTACGAAAATAGTTCTACTTTTTGAAGTGTATATATCATGCATGTGTACATTTCACCTTCCAGGCTGCCAGATTCTACTTTCAGATAAAATACTTGGGTTCGTTTGATTCGGTTTATGCATTTGTTTCGTAACAAGATGATGACACATAAAATAATTTAAAGAAATAGATTTAATTATTTCATACAGTGAACACTTTTGTTGTTTCTCCCTGAGACCAGTTAGGCATGGTAACAAGGCGGGGATGGGGATGGGGATGGGGGGAGTTTTCTAATCCTCAACCCCGGTTTCTATGAACGGTCTCCGGCGGATACGGGGATGAATATCTCGTCTACGGTTTATTTTCTGGTCAACCCCTAATTTTCGTCCCCGGTCAAAACCTAATTTTAGAAAATTATATATATATATATATATATATATGGGGCTTAATCAAATGAGAACTAATTAGTTTGTGGTAAATGTGAGAACCAATATTAACCACAAATCAATAGATAAATTAGGAAATTTATAATTTTGGAATTTTGAATTAAAATATTAATGCAA